AATTAATTAATTTTGCATAGCCAAATAAACAAATATTCTTTATAGATTAGCAATTCTTATAGCAAAATTGTGTTTTTGTTAAAGCTTGAAAAGTGATTTTTATGTTATGACACATTATTGGCTAACTTCTGTCGATTATCACGTGATCGTGAAAATTTTATTAGCGTTAGTGTTTTGTTGGCGCATCTTCAATCTGGGGCGATTCTGAACTGGGGTGAAGTACATGTAATTCCGAAGATTTTTAGCCTAATTAGACATACATTGTTTCGGCAAATCCTTCCCCTAAAACAACAAATGACCTAATTTGGTTAGCAGGTACGCACAATATGCGACATGTCGAAAGGCTGAAATTACATTACTGATTAATGAAAATGTGTATAACCGTTACGTATTATTGCACCTTAACTTATCAAAAAGACGCCTGGTTGCTTTTTCAGCCTACATTGAATGTAGGCTAAGTGATCATTAGTATATCTGTATGTTAAAAAAGTTTAAATATAACTTTTTTTTATAAACAATGGTTTACTGCTAGATTAATCTGTTAAAAAAGTATATCTGTTTATAATTTTTATAAATTGAACACTGTTTTTTAATGCTATTGTATTAGCATTGTAGTTAACAATGCAATAATTGAATAATTATTATATATCTTAATGAGCTTAAATTAGTCTTTAGAATAAGAATTTAAATTCGTATATTATACAGGATGTCATAGTATGTAAACAAACCTATTGACACCAATTTAAGTATAATATTACCAACCTGGTAAATTGAAACAATATATGTATTTATTAGTGATATATGCATAACAATTCCTTCACACGGTGACTTCTTCCATAAACTCACCGCCAAAAATAAAACTTTAAGATAAAAAAGTTTTTTTTTTAATAATATCAAAATGGAAGAGTATACGTTTTACAATTCGCATTTGTTCACAAGAACAATGATGTTAACTAAAATGAATCGAGTCTTATTAAATTTCAAACAATACCGACTTTAAATAACATTCACCCAATTATGTTTATCGACTGTTCTTTGATGGTTCAAAACATTTAAATGAAAGATGAGTTCGTACGTTGACATTTTGCTATATATACAGGTAATTGTGAGAGAAAAAAAACGAAACTTACAAATAATTTTTACATTGTATAGTAGTACTTATATTTGGTCTTGTTGCTATATTATTTTCATTCACTTCATCGAAGATTTCATTTTAAAAAGATGTCACAACGGATCAGAATTAAAGACGTACCAGTTTTTACGCCCTTCCCTCAAACTAATATCCATTTTCCAGATGAAAGCCTCGTCAATAAAATTATTGGATCAATAGATTCAGCCGTACTTTTAAAGATCAAGCAACACGTATATCTGGAAATTAAAGATTTAATCGCACCTAGACCAAAAAAGAATCGTAATAGGCAAAAAATTCCACGTCCACAAAATCCTTTTGTGATATTTCGTAGGAATGCACAAGCAAAAATGGAAGCCAGTTTGGAAACCGAAATGAAAGAATCGATGCTTACACTCGTGTCAAAAACAGCGGGAGAAGACTGGAAGAAAGCAAACGCAGAAGTAAAAAGCGTATTTAATTATTTGGCCACATTGGCAAAAAAAGTTCATGAGAAGACATATCCAGATTATGTTTATAAACCAAGAAAGAAGGCCAATTCGCCTATTCCTGAACTACAATCATTTCAGGATGATTCAGATTCTTCAAGTTATACAAATAATTATTCTTCTATTCACACCTCCCCAAATGAAAAAAATCACGGAGTCTGGGTTGATTCACAAATTTTTCCTTATGCTCTTCTACCATCCAAACATTTACCTTCCATTTGTTCATTAATCGATTCGATCTCTGAGAATACTCTAGCAACCACAATTTTACCATGCTCGCCAACTTATACCTGTCTCAAATCACCCGACAAACAGCTTAATTATAAATCTGAAATAAGTTCAGTTTTCAAATCATCAATTAGATTACCGTCTCCTGACGTGTCTAATTCGTATCATGCATTACCACCACTCGAAGTTGATATATCTAATTATACAACACATAATTACGATAGAAATCTGCTTACCGCCTTATCATTTTAATTCGCATTTTTTTTTTCTCACCCGCGTTTTCTTCTTTGAATAGCGAGTTCTTGATCATATTATATTAAATGTTTATGTTGAGATTTTGAAAGAGTTTACCATGCAGGAAAGTTATTCGTATAAGCTTTTAACCCGAGTTTTTTTTTTTTTTTTCATTAATTCGATAAAGTTATCATGAAAATTTGTATATATAATTCCGTTTTTTTTGTTGGGATAAGAGATTATTTGCGTGATTATGAAAAAAATCGTTTACACAAGGACAATTATTTCACAAAGTCAATTAATAGCCAATGAAATTACCTTTTCGTATAAGGTTATGCATTAAATATTAAGGATAACTAGTTATTACTTTCTTATAACATTATGATCATCTTTATTTTATATGTATATTTTATCACAATCCGAAATTAGGCGCGAACGCCAACTTTTTTTTTTTTTAAATAAATGTGTAAATAAAATTTTGCCGTCTGAAATCTCTATGCTTGAAACATCATCCATCTGGTTCTCCATCTGGTTCGTGCAAATCACTTTATCGGCCAGACATAGTTTTAAACAAAATTTACTACGTACTTACGTATTTACTCATGTATGTATACATACGAATGCAGTAAAACCGTAATTATTGCGTTTTGGATTTAATACTTCACGAAAATGTGTTCAAATGTGTTCGAATAATAACAAGTAATCTTTATGCCACACATGAATTCCATGAATTCTGATGTGACAATATAAAATGTTTCGGTTACGGTTACATATTATCATAGATAAGTTGTGTCCTATAGTTTTTCACTTGCGGCACTTATGCATAGTATATATTGTAGTAACTTTAGTGACGACAATATGTCGGAAGTTATTGTATAAAAAGTTTCGGAAACCCGGTTTCTAGTGTAAAGTGTAATTGATACCTAACTATACAATACAATACAAAAGGTATTCGCTCTATATATTTTATTAAATTATTGGTGCAATAAAGTTGAGTTATTGTATGGGTATATTGAATAAACCAGTTACACACACGGGTTCATATTTAAATCCGTGGCCGAATGAACCCGTGTGTAACTGGGTTATTCACTACATACCCATACAATAACTATAATCTTTAGCACTACATATTACATTCTCTACTATATAGAATTTTACAATACTTTTTATTACTTTTTATTCTGGGTTGCAAAGTAGCAATCAAAATAGTAACAATATAAAACAATTTAATTATTTTTATCATTACGTAATTTACAACTTCTACGCCGTGCATTGTCTTCATTATGAAATAATTCCGCCCCAAACATTTGAGCTATTTGATTTGGTACACGTTACACCTGATCGAGAAACAAACATCACGATGATTTTATCAAATTGTGTTCTTACTGTAATAGGGTTGGGTATAGAAAATATTTGGACATGCTGAAGAGGCATGCCTTGGGCTAAAACATACGAGTATCATAGTCATGACGCAAAAAATTGGCGGTCCGTGACTAATTCAATAACAATCTATCCTAATTTTCGTCTAAACATTACAGCTAATTTTCAAAATTTGTGGACCACCCTGAGAATTTATCGTTGGGATGGCGGGTGATTACGTGAGTTTAAATCAATATTCGTAATAATAATATCTTGGGTCGTTGGGTATTGGTGGATTGGTCCCAGGCAGTGATAACGGAAATACATGACTGATACTGATCGGCCGCGTAAGCGGCCGATCAGTATCAGTCATGTATTTCCGTT